TCCTACAACCAGGAAGTGGAAAAACGCAATTCTGAGCCGTTCATCTGCCTATGGGGAACCCAAATTTCCTCAGGAATCGAATGGAATAGGTTTTAAGGCTCTATCTCTCATAGTTTCCGAGATAATCGCGAAAAACGAAATCGCNTTTCACTGAAAATTCTGTAAAATTCCAGAATTTTAAGCAGCATGAAGATGGGAATTCCTTAATTTATTTGAATTTTCATTCTAATATGGATATTCACTGCCCAATTACATTGAATTTCCAGGGAAATCTGAAATTTCATGGTTTTTCCCCCCTAAATCGTTCATGAATATATTTACCGGAATTTTCTGGTTTTCTATTGATTTTCAAAGAAAAATGGAACTGAAATTTACAGTTCTTTTTTATTTTTCTACAAAATTCTGAATTTTCAATGACGAAATTCCTTGAAATTTCAGTGATAATAAAATTCGATTGAAATTTCCGAAAAGTGTACCAAATTTCAGGCAAAATTTTTTAACAGTGTGCCTTGCTCACCAAAATGTGTTCATGACCCTTCTTTTTTAAGAAGTTTTATTGGATGTTTTGGATAGGATTTTGATATATTCAAAGGAATTAACAATTCCTACGTCAATGCTATTCAGTTTATTGTTATCACCGAATAGCTTTCTACTTTGCAGACACGTGCGCTCATTTTCTGAATAAGACTACTCGATTAGTACATGTCCTTGCGCGGATAGCCTGGATCGAGTAGAACTGATAAGCATTGCAACTTTTTCAATCCATGCAAACGTTCATCGACAGTAAAAATGTCTAGCATGCTAGGAAAAAATACGTTCGATGTTTCTTGATTTTTTTTCTTTATTGTCTTCATAAGTTTTCATACAATGCCAAAATATTTTTTGCCGAAAGATAATGCTTAGTAAAATACTTGAGTGTTATTATGCATAAAGTCGTAAAGGATTGCAGTGAAGACTCAAGGATCATAGACGGTATAGCGAGCTCTATCAAACCCGGTCAACACGAATGTGAGCATTCCGCTGTATCCCGGTGCTTTCTTGTGATACAATCCGACACCACCTAGAGGATAATGTGGATCTGAAGTGACTGGACGGGCATCCAGGAACGGTGCCATTACCTCATTCTTGTAATCGAATTCTACAAAACTGAATGGTCTTGCATCTATCTTCGTCTCCACTCCCCCTTGCAGAACATTGAAATCTCTAGCTGTGTGAACTTGGAGTCGAAGTTTGATAAATCGATTTTTTTTCTTATAGTATCGATTGTACTCAGTGAGTACCTGAACGTACCACATTCATTTTCGTTTGTACCCCGCAACCCTAGACGTAAGGGGTGCGGAAAAAGTCGTGCAGCGTCGGAAATGAAGCTACTGAAAAAATTTTCATGAGCAAGGATTCAGCATGGATAGTACTTGTATGTACTATATTTTTCCATTTCATTTATCAACCCCTTCAATACTTTACCCGCTTCTAAAATCTTAAATGTATGAAGGACGTCAGGAAAACATACAGATAGCTTGTAAATCGTTTATACTTGTTTGTATCAACGAAAATTATTCATTATTATTATTATTATTCTAATCAAATCACCTGATCCCATTTTTATCAACCGTAAAATCATCGTAATAAATTCCATATGTAGTTTGTGAAGTTTTGATGTGGGTACGTCTCATCTTCCGTACTTCCACTCCCATCGCAGTACAAACGGAACAATTTACTGTACATGA